TTTCCAGGTGTATAGTTTGATAAATGAGCTCTCGTCTGATATGGTTTTAATGTCGAAATTTTAGGTACCAGGTGTCGTTTAAACCGGTCAAAGTTAGTCTTCATTTTGTCTCCCAAAATATCGTGCAAAATACACCTCTATAAAAACGGCGATAAAAATCATACCAAAGAGAACTACAGAAAAATTTTAATATGCTTTCACTTTGCAGTGATATTGTAATTATTGTGCAAAGTTTGAAGTTGAATAGACTTTCTTAGCGCTGCCAACATCTTCCTAAAATTGCGTGACGATTTGACCATTTAAGCAAGGCGAAAACGGCTTTTTTGACGAATTTTTAAACTTTTTAAATTTTCAGTCGAAAAAAAAAAATCGCTGGAACTTTAAAATATTTTTTTCGAAACTAGTTCACAGAAAGGGATGTTTTGGCAAAATAAAAAGAAATTCGAGTTTTCGTCACTGATTTACGATTCTCGAAATTTTCTGGCGGCTTCTCTTAAATGTGATGGTGACCTTCGCTACTGATCAGACCCAACCTTGGTTACTAACCGATAGCAGTTCTTTCCATGACTTCGTTTTTCCGGGCAAACGAACGACAAACGCTTTTGGTTTTAAAAATTGGCAAGTAATTATGAAGGATACTATTAGTTTCCCCAAAAGCCTTGTCTTTTCTATTGTTTTAGGAAGGGAGAAATTACGGTTTACTTGGATACTCCTAGAGAAGCTAAAATGATCTTTTATGTTTTGCGTTATCGAGACGAACTCCCTCTCCCGACTATGAACGTGACAGATCGTTGTAAGACCGAGAACTGGGTACTAGATCTTCGGAGACAGCGATGATTTCAGCGGTGAAAGGGAAGAAGAGTAAGGGAACTCATGTAATTCAGCGCGATATGTTGGTAGCTAAAAAGATGTTTTGATATGCGAACGGGTCGTTCTGCGAAAAATGAAAAGCGAAGAAAGGATGAGTCTTGTTCAGAGAGGATGAGTCTTGTTCAGAGAGGATGACTTGCATCTTAGATGATGATGAAGCGGACATTGAAGCTGAAATTCAGCGAGAACTCGACGCTCTTGCAGATGACAGTTTGCATATAGAAAATGTTGAGGATGAGACGCCAACTACAAAATCAGACGAGGTAATTTGAAGTTTTAATTTGTGCCAAACCTTAACAGGTTAATGAATGAACGTAATTGTAGTTTTAGTAGAAGTTTTGTATTCGAGATTTTTTTGCCTCTCTATTTCATCTATTATCATACGGTATTATGCTCATCGAGCGAAGAAAGCATAAATAATTTTTAGTAAACATAGGGATCATATTGTTTCAGCGCTGAATTATGCATGGTAAGATGTACGAGTTTAATCTAACTCTATTGTTTTTTATTGACGAGTACAAGTATTTTATGCAGATAACTTTGAATTGAAAAAGATATATTTTTTACGCTGTAAATTGAATGCAACATATGACGTACCTGTAAACTGGACCTGCTAACTAGAGTGTGTTATATGATAAGCTTACATGTATGAATCACACTCGCACTAAGATCTGATTGTTAATTCTCCCCTCTAGCTGCTACACATTTTCTTGTAAGTAGCTTACGAGAATTTGGTGTTCAATCAAGGTAACAACTTCTACCTGATCAGTTAGAGTATTCTCATAACCTATTTGCTGGATAATGTATGGATATTGTAGGGAGAAGTTACTTGTTAATCACCTCTGGGAGTTAAAGGGTTAATTATGACCTGTTGGAGGACAGATGCATAAATGATGTCACCATTAACAAATTGTTGCTTTATTATCCTAGAAAACAAATATTTTCGGTGTTACTGTTTGTCTGTTCAGTAATAGATTGTAGATCATATCAAGGTGTAGTAACAACATCAGTGACTGACTTGGCTGCACCTGGAACATTATCCAGGGCTCAACACCAATGGTAACCAACTAGCCACACTGACTAATAAGAATTCAGTTTTGGCTAGTAGTTTTCAGTTTTGTAACAGGTGCTGTTTGTCTACTATCGGGAGACGTAGGAAATGGTTCTTGAGGAGACACAGCAAAGCTTTATTTTAGGTTGTCATGATCAAGCTCGTCTAGAGAATGACGTGAGGATCTCAATACACTCACTGAAGAATCATGCGGTCGTTGTATCACAATCAAGTGTTACGTGACTTATGAAATAACACGCTATTGATAACATATTGTAACAAGTTTCCCCCAGCCAGTTTGGCTTGTAAATAAACTGAAACTGTTGTAACATCTAAGTTATCACTAGCTACTTGGCTAGTAAGTTGAAAAGTTAGCATAAAGCGCTGAAATGAAAAGATTTCTCATATAACACAAGTGCAAAGTTGTAACGTGGGTGCAAATTACGACTATTGGCTTGTGCAATTTTTTTCTTTGAAAAGTTTATATACTTGTGCTTATTAACACCAAATTGCACTAAAAAAATAAAGTTATTACCCATACTAACTCCCATGAGTGACCAAGACAAAATATCTCCTTGTAGTATCAATATAATATCAAGCAGAAAAGTGACAACAATAAATATATCTTATTAACCAAGTGCGAAGGCCATACTGGGAGAATATCGACCCGAGGTCTTGACAGTATGGACCGAGCACAGCAAGGTCCGTACAAAAAAGACCGAGAACCGATATTCTTCCAGTACAGTCCTGAGCAAGCTTGGTTAATAAGAGATTTATTATACAACTGAAGTTCAAAGGGACACAAGTGCAG